AATAATCTTTAATATTTTCTTAAGGAAAAAATAAGTAATTATTTCGTGATATTTGTACTTCGCGCACACTATTTATTCTTGATTGTTATATGTATATTTTGAAAAACGGCTTCTTAAGTTTTCTTGAAAACAATCTCTTTGACAACTATCGAATTTCAATCATTATGCCGCTGACAATTCGCAGCATGAAGCGAGCTAATTGTAAATGAAAGAAATTAGCATCACGGGAAAGGAGTAACGATAAATTCGACTGGATTTGACCTTTTTAAGAGTTAGGCTGATGGCAGACAACTATCCGTAAGCGCTTAAGACTGACGTAGCCGTAAACTTAAGGTAAGGCAGAGAAAAACATAAGCCGTAAGGAACACGTGTTCTACGGCTTATGTTTTTCTCTGCCTTACCTTAAGTTTACGGCTACGTCAGTCTTAAGCGCTTACGGATAGTTGTCTGCCATCAGCCTTAGGCTTTGCGACGTGTTTCACACAACTGAATCTTTAAATTTGCTAAAATTGTCAATCTGAAAAAAACTGCTTATTTTTAATTATCCAATTAAAATAATGTGGGGTTAAATTATCATAAAATAAAAATTTGCATGGTTCAAATGTGATAAACACAACTTTAAAAGAATAAAGGACTAACAATAAGAGCCGTGGCAGAGTGTTAGTGTCTAAATATCTCATTTACGAATACTGTCACGATAAGTGGTATTCGGGAATCAACATTATACTATTTAAATGTTGTTGGTAATATTTTTGTTCACCAGTAATTAAATCAATAATCAATCCATTGTTTCGACATAACTGGCTATATTTAATTTGTTACAGTAACAACGTTTCGACTGCCGATCGCAGTCCTCTTCAGGTTAATTTACGAGACATGTATTTACGGTATACATTATTGTGGTAGCAATAAGTATTATCTATAACAATATAAATTACAATTTAGTTTTTTCAATACGAGTTTAATGTCTTTGTAAAGCGAACGCAATGTTTATGAATCTATTGATTTGGCGTGGCGAATAGATTTTAGAATATATATTGAATTGTCGTTATAACTCACACGTAATGTTCGTCAATTAGTTAAATCGGTTCTTTGAATTCGAGCAACGAGCATCCATGTGTCCGTACATCTGGGAATATCGAGCAGATCACAGCGCACACCTCAGTAGTTCAGATAATAATGACAAGGAGGAGAGCAAGAACGGACGTTAATGTTTATAAAATTCGTATTATCTTATCGTATATCTTAGAAAGGTTGTCTGTGTCGTTCTGTAAATTGATAGAATTGTTTTCTTTCTTTATGAAGATCATTTCAGCAATTTCTCGTTTCCTTGTGTGTTTTTCTGTATGTAATATTCTGGTATTCAACCATTTAAAATCATGATTTAAAGTTTCACGATGATTGCTGACCACTGAGTGTGCACTATGCTCTCTCCTGATATTGGTACATGTTCTTTTATACGTGTTTTTAGGTGTCGTTTCGTTTGTCCTACATAACAAGCGTCACAGTCCCCACATTCAATTTTATATTATACTATTTATTGCGATGAATATTTCCACATGCCTCGGTGGTCGAATTGGTTAAAACTCCCGTCTAGTAAGGAACTTCAGGTTCACACCCTGACTGAGGTAATATTTTTTGCAATAAATTAAAAATACAAAATATTTAGACACTAACTCCCTGTCACGGCTCTTAATCATTTAAATTATCATTATTTGTGTATTATGCTCACACTGCATAATTTTTATTTCCTTTTTGAGCAGGAGATTGCATTTGTAATAATATTTTTTTGTATATGCACTTACGCACGCACACATACACACATGAACCTTGTGACTGCATTGTATAAAAATTTGTTTCTCATACGCACAGAAGAACATGTCGAAAAAAGAATGAGTAAGAAACAAGCTAATATTCATTTTGCAGTAAATTACTGACATTATTATCATTGCATAATAACACCTCAAAGAACATTATGTCATCTTAAAGACATCTTAAAGACGTCTTGAACAGTTCTAAGACGTCTTATGAAGTTGTCAAAAGTTTTTGACATCTTTAAGACGTCTTATGTCCCGATTTTCGACGTCTTTTAGACTTGTCTTAAAGACATCTTCAAGACGTCTTGAAAAGAAATGTAAAAACGTCCTCGAGACATGTATAATATTATAGGCATACCGACTAATCTCTTTCGCAAGGTCGTATTTCGATATTACGCAATTTCTGATTTTTGTACTTAGGCCGCGGTCAAGCGAACGTCGAACAGTTATTTCCTCTTCTATAGGAATGAGAAATAAGCTTCTCTTGGAAGTCGTGATTACTATAAAATACTTCATTTAGTAATTTCTCATTAAATTTAAGAATTTTTTACAGTATCGAAATACTACCTGTAGAATTTTGACATATTTTCAGCGATAATCCTCAGCGATAATTTACGTAAATAATTTTGGAATCCGCAATAGAGAGAAGATTCTTAGAGTTAATAACGGGAAAAAATCTAAGATACAGCAAAATGAATGGAACAAATATCTGGAAGATTTTTGAACATCAGATAGTTGATCATATAATATAATGATTACTCAGAAAAATATCACTACTATATCTGATTCAAATTTCAGATATAGGTACTTTGTACCGTGTGGAAACTTTGATTAAGAAATTCTATCGGCCGCTCTTGTTTTCATTGTATGCACAACAAGCATAGCACAATATACACATTTCTATTACATCCAAGAGCTACATATCCGATAATATATCGTTCAATTATAGATTGCTTTTAATTTCCCTGACACATTTAGACCGGTACTTATAGTCAGATCTTCTATTCAAGACCGTCTTGAATTTATTTTAAAATGCTGTATGGAACATTTTATTGGCTACGGAGTATCTAAAGATGATTTTGAGCCAGTCTTGGATATAAGTTCTGACCACGAATACTGGCCTTAACTTTATATAATGTTTACTGAATTTTGTAATGTAATTTTTTTAATAATTACACATGTTGTAATATATTTAACAATTAAATATATTATATTTAACAATTAAATATATTATACCATATATGATATAATAGAACATAATACGGTATAGAAAATAGCAGAAGAGATAGATACAATTTATATAAATTGTTTTATATTATGGATTATGTTTGAATGAATTATTTAAAACCCATATTAATGTAGATATTTCCTGAGACCCACACAATTTTGTTGAAAATAAACAATAATTGTATATTTTATATCGGTCTTTAATATTTTTCAAGCAATATGAATTTGCATTTTGTGATTATGAATTATTTACCAGATTAGAATTACGCGATAATTTTTTTATAGCTTTATAACGTTTTATAACGTTATTAGAGCATTAATTAGATTATAATTACAGGTAAAAATTGTAATATATACACGGAAAAAAATAATTTTGCTGTGATAGCAAAATCGCCGTTGCTACTGCATATTCGTAGTAATAGCAATAAAATTTAGTTGATAGAACTAATTTTACGAATTATTCGTCATTATAGCAAAATCTATTTTGTTGCGAGAATAGAACAAAATTTGCTGAGTGTATTTGTAATTACAATCACATAAATTTGCTACTGAAGCAAAATAATATATTCTTAGCAAATACATTTGCTGTCACAACGAAATCCCGATACGCCTGATTCCCTCCTGAATAGATAGCACTAGTACCACATACTGCGTGGCGACCGGCGCGTCTTTCTCGTAAGTAAAAATCGTCCCGTATTAGTATAAAAAGCGAGCCGATATGATATGAGAGCGAGTTGTCTGGATCATGGATAGACCTCAATAACCTGAATATACTTTTGATGACTATGTGATTTAACACAATTTAACAATTAGTTACAAAGTGAATTTTTTAATAGGAAGCCTATTGATACCCCACCCCATATTAAAAACTGTAAGGAGCAACAAAGGGCCCTGTCAGGGCTGCCTGAACCCTACTACTGCTCGGGATAATTTTGTTAATCCAGCAAATTATATCCAGCAAATTGCGATTAGTATTCGTAACACATCTTCTTGCTGTCCATATAATAACGAACAGATTTTTCTACAACAGCAAAAAATCTGCTGTGTCAGCAAATTATTTTTCTCCGTGTACGTAACGTACATGATGTTAATTAAAAAGAAAGACAATAAAAAATACGCAACGTATTATATTAGATTAAATTTATCTGTTTTAACATAAGCTTGTAAATTAATTCTGTGTAATGCTGTGTAATTATGAAATAATATTTTGCGTCTACAGTGCACTGAATCTCTTCATATATAGGATAAAAGCAAAGAAGTTACGTTATTCCATGATTTCAATACATAAATATTATGCAATATTCAATACATAAATATAATTAAATTTTATTTAAATTATTGTTAGAAAATATTTGTACTTCTGGTTGAAGGATGGATCGAAATGCAATAGTTTCTTGACGTTTCATTATACTGTGGCTGCCATAATCCCACTAACTATATCAATTTTTTTAGTATTTATTAAAAGTTTAATTACAATTTCTTTTCGCGCATTACATTTTAACAATGGATTGTCCACCTATTGTAATTTTTTCTTTCTTTTAGCGACAGTGTCAAAGAAAGAAGATTACTTACTACAACGTTCCAATTTAAAAATAATATGCGAGAGATACATATGATAAATGATTGAATAGATTTTTGGTAGCAGGTTTTCTGCGAGACAAATAATTCACAAATAATATCTAAGACTTAATTCTACGTAGAAGAGGGCAACCAAAAATGGTGTCCCTCGTGAGAATCATTGAAATGATAATGTGATTCTAATCTACAACAAAGTCTTGGTTTGTTATAGATTCAACTTTCTACTCGGATTACATCGGATATTATATATGGATCATTGGAAACGTATTAAAAGCGAATTAAGTGGAGGGGAAACACAAAGTAGATAGACGGCATAACGTAACATGGCCGCGAGTGACAACGGAAGGGTAAAGATCAAACTAACCTGAACTCCGTACTCGGTTATATAGGAGGAAACATCGCTCTAACGTACTCCAATAGCGACGTGCACTTCATTTCATAAGGAGCACATCATTCGTCCGTCAGTGCCAAGCCAATCTTCCGGTCGTGCTTTCTATGTGATCGATTTCCACCAAATCAGATCCACGGATACAGTTTGGCGAAATGGATCAGTATCATCCAGTCCCACCAGGTGCGATACTTATCGTCAGCGTTAATAGTAGATAATCTCATAGGTACAGCAATGTGTGCAATATCAGGAAAAAGAAACATACTTTCAAGTAGTTTGTTTATCCGCGGTTTTATTGCACCATTTGAAAATTCATTTTTTGTGGCAGTAAAATGACAAGTGGAATACAACTTTGTATTGTGGACTACATATAACCTACTTAAAATGATGTAGAGTGGTAAAAAAAGAAGAGTTGTCTAAATGTGTACCAGTTACCTAAATCGGTACCTCATCAATTTTTTAAATTTTAATATAAACGTATTCAATAAATAAATAAAAATAGATAAGATAAACAAGCCATGAAAAGTATAAACAAAAAGTTCTGAGACGTTTCCTTGTGTGCATGTTATAAACATTTTGAAAAAGCCAGATACGATTGATGTAATTTTTAATCAATTCATCAATTTGTTAAACCATGCAGTTTTACTCTACAGTTACTCTATATTTTTATAAAAGTAGGTATTATATTACATTTAACTTTCGTTCTATTTAGGTCTATTACAATTATTATAAAAGTTAAATTGGTATTGTTGTACAACTTATTACGTTTCAGGTAATGGTAGGATTTTACAACATGCTTACTTTTTATTTTATAATAATTATACATTTATTATATTATTTATGATTTTATGGCTTAATTATGTATATATGACAATATTAAGTATTAAATATGACAGTATATTGTCATGAAATGATAAGTCACATATCTCTAACACGTACGTGATAAATATTATAAATGGTAGTATGCGTGATAGCGAACTAGCGTTTTAGCACGTATTAGTAGTTTTTAAATAACGTATTAGTAAAAACGTATTAGCAGTTTTTAAATAACATTACTCTCGTTGTTATTACATGTTGGATATGTTTTATTTGTCATTAATACGTATAAACTTTCTCAATCACATTTTTGTTAATTTCAGTTACAAAGGACCCCATACTTTCTGTACGTAAAATAGGTTCCGACCGATTTTCTTCAAATTCCATATACAATTACACGTATCATTGGATAACCATCGACCATAAAAAAGATTGTTTAAACAAAAATCACTCTTTTCGAGCTGTTGAAGCGATATACGTGATAATAATGCAGGGTATTGTACAATATTTTGAGATTTGCATTAGAAATAATTCTTGTGAAAGAAGAAAGAAAGGCAATGATATGTAGAATTATACGTACAGGAAACTCGCATTCGACAGTCTCTTTTTGTGAATTCTCAAGTCAGTAACACATAAAATAACGTACGCAGCAAGCGAACTGACAAATCAGAGCCGAGAAGGAAAAAAATACTTTACATCATATTGTGTATTGCCGATTTCACTTGTAATATTATTTTATACAGTTGAACCTTTTTTTATACACGCACATACAGTAACACTTCTCGAAACAAGTTTTTTGGTCAAATGGAGCATCAAGAAACCTTTCAAAGTCGAGAATATAATTCTACTTATAATTACATCTCTTTCTTTTTTTACAAGAATGACTTTCAATGCAAATTTCAAATTATAACACGTTCTCTGCGTCATTATCAAGTTTATTGCTGCAACAAAAAGTCCAAAAAAACCTAATTTTAAAAAGTGATTATTTAAAAGACTTTTTTTATAATTGATCTACATGTTTAACAAGCCAAAATTTTCAATATTACCTTATGTACATAAGTTGAAACCAAATCGGAGATATAATATAAAATATCATAATGGCCGCGTTCAACAGAAAAAGCTGCTTTGCAACTGTTGTAAAAATCCTGAATCTAATTAGCGTGTGCTCTTAATTATGGCAGAATCTAAGAGCATACTTCAATCAAATTTACGAATTTTGCAACTGTTGCAAAGCAGGTTTTTCTGCTGAACGCAGTCATTAAATGATAGTAATATGATCTTAGCAATTCTTCTATATCTATCGTGCATAAAAGATTTTGTGACGATCATTGCCAGACCAAGTTCATTATCCATAAAACAATTGTATGCTGATTAAGAGATTATTCACATTTCTTATTTACGTCAAATTACGTTGGTAAAACATTAATGAATTCACACACTTACGTCAATTGTGAGTTTACAAAACAATATTTGATTTGAAATGAACTCTTTTTTTAAAATGTTTTCAATTTTTTTATAGAAAAATATTTTTCTCTTTGCGCGAATAATTTCGTAGAGCGTTTGCACTGTAAAAATGAACGAAGGTATAAACGCGAGTATCCCTTATCGATATTGAATGATGTGCTGGCAGATAAAATTTGGATTTTTATACGTGACTTTTGATCGTTCAATTAATCGGCATTATCCATTGCGTGTGTCCATTCAGCTAATTAGGTACCGCTTTATGTCCGTATTGCTACTGCGTTCTGTTTATAGTTACGGCAACATTTAATGTCAGCGATAATAAAATGATATGTCAGTCACATTCGCATGCAGGCAACGGAGTCGCCGTTGACTGTCTACCTTCTCGACCCTGAAGACTTTTATACCACGTATAAGAGTGGACACCAATGTGGTGCTAGTCGCATTGTCGAATGTTTTTCGGTACCGCTCGGATCGTCCGCAACGCCGAGCATCCGTGATTGATTTCGCGTTCGAATATTTTTCAATTTTCACGTTCTATCTTTGAGTTACGTGCTCGTGATAGTGCGAAAAAAAAAACGCCCAGCGCATCATGGCACCGTCAATGGAAAGTGAGTACAAAACCGTTTTCAAAAGTTTAAAAAGACTTTTAAAGAGTTACATTCGCGACTGCACAGCCCAGATTCTCTCTTGCCGCGAGCAAACGTAACATGTCTGTTTTTAGACATTTGCAAAGGAAGTCGTATCACTTATGCGTCGAGGCCACGCATGAATATCACGCGTGTGAAATGCGTGTGTTATACACTTGTAAAACTTACAAAGATATGGCTGGGCATAGTACGAACGTCAGGATCAACGCCTAAACGAATTGAAAAGCCGTGACTAATGCCCGTTTTCACCAACGTCGTTTAAGGGGTCATCCTACTTTAACGGCCCAAAACTGTGCTTATCTTTAACAATTTTATTCACAGTAAACGTACATCATACAATGAAATAAATCTTTTTGGGATGCAAATTCGCTGCGTTGATGACGTTTATCATTCAGGCTTACCTGAAACAAAAATCAAAAAGATTTTTAATCTATACGAGTGTCGCTATGTCCCGAACCTCAATTGAGAATTGTTATTTAAAAACAGCAAAATGGTGCCAGTTTGTAGCCAGAAAAGTACTTTTCAAAACTTCTTTTCAAACTGGCACCATTTT